TCCAGCACGCACCAGGACAGAAGCTGGAGTTACAGTCGGAGGGAGGTGGAAGCAGCAGAAAGAGACTGCTCCTGGGGCCTCACCATATCTCAGAGACATCCACTGTGGAGGACTCAGAGGCCCAGACCCTTGGTTGAGGTAGCAGAGGATGTGGGCATGGATCCCAGTTTTCCTAGCACTAGCTGGCAGTGCTAAAGGAAGGGCCCCAGCCCACATCTTTCCAACTCGGCCCATTTATTCTACATCAGGTAGATGGTCATTTCAAGAAATTTTGGCCTTGGGACCAGCAGGTGGCACCGTGGTTAAGGGTGCTGGATTCCCACATGGCCAACTGTGGTTCAAGTCCCAGACCTGGTGGCTTGCTTTCTCACTTTCCCTTTCTTTCTCTCTCATTCTGTCCCTCTCTGGTCAAATTAAAACAAACAGATACAGGGAACCAGCAGTTAGTGTAATGGCTATGTCGCTGGACTCCCACATAGTCAACCGCGGTTTGCGTCCCGGTCTCGGTGGCTTAAAACTCACGCTGGGATGTGTGCATGCGTGCCCAAGATCCCGAGAGGAGAAAGGATTGTGGCATGACCATCCCCCCTGGGGGGTGATTTCTCACTTTCTGTCTATGTCTCTCTCTGTCTGGCGACTGGCTGTCGGGCGAGCGCAGTCGCCCTATAGCGAAAAACCCCCTCAAAAAAAAAAAAAAAAACCAGATACATAAATAAAGTTAAATAAAATAACTCTTTGAAAAAAATTCAGCCTGGGATTAAAATAGCCTCCAGGCTGGCAGGTGGCGTGGTAGTTAAGGTGCTGGACTCCCACACGGCTGACCATGGTTTGAATCCTGAACCTGGAAGCTTGCTTTCTCACTTTCCCTTTCTCTGTCTCTCTCTAGTCAAATTTAAAAAATAATAATAACAAATAAAAGAAATAAATAAACACAACCTCCAAGGAATAAAGAACTTGGGAGAGGGAACAGAATTATGTCACATGAAAAACTTATCCGATTAGCCCAACAGATTGCTCTCTCACTTTCCAAGGTTTGTAGTATCTTTCCTTGGGGCCGAAAGATAAGATGGTTGTACAAACCATCCCCTGGGGGTGTCCTGGCCCACAGGGCACAGGCTGCATCTTGTACACACTGAACAGCTATGAACCCTGTTTCCCCTTTCCCCAGATCACTGCTCTGCCAGGTAGGAACACTCCCTAAGGACCAGCGGCTCCACCCATCCTCCTCCCACCTTCTAGCAGATGAGGATCACTGAGGGGGAGCAAAACAAGGCTGATGCTCTGCTCTCCACAGGAAGTGCTCTGAGTTCCAGCTCCTCACCAGCCCTGCATAGGGGACAAGCTACACAGCCCCATCAGTCACAGGAGGGGGCCAGAGCCCCCTCCCATTACCTTTCCTGTCCCACAAGCCTAACGTGAACTATCTTTCTTCTGGTCTTCGGCTTCTATTAGCAGAGGGAAAAGGAGTCTTTTTAAGAGACAATACGATGAGTCACTCAATAAAATAAAAGGAAGAAAAGAAACACTGTCACTTATTTAGCTTCCATACATGGGCACTGGAATTTAGGTGTGGTGGCAGAAATCAAATGTTGCAATGCCTGGCTTGGAACTATCTCCAGGATGCAAAGCCGGCACTCCTCAGAACACCTTTTGCCTCTATCGATAATTCTGGAAAGTGGCATAAACATACACATGGTCTCCATTCCCACGTCTGGCTGCCTATCCCAACATCTTGAGGTCTCCCAGGCTTCCTGCATGGCAAGGGGCCTGGGGCCATCACAGCCATGCGTCTCCCAGGATTTAGGCCCACCACTGGGATGGTCTTGGGGTCAGGGATTTCCCCTGAGCCAGGCTGCCCATGGTACCCCAGCATCAAGAAGCTCTCTCAGCAGCTGAACAAAGTGTCTTTTATTTGTGACATACAAATACGACCAATGCAAAAGAGATCACTTTTTCCCTTTGATTCCAGTGATAACAAGTAGCTAAAGAAAAAAATATATATCAAGTTTATCTTCCAATTTTCCTCTAAAAGAACCAGAAAGGGTTATTAAAAAGAACCATACACATGTCATTGATATATTTGACATCATAAAAATAACCTGAAATAGGGTGGATAAAACAATAACAACAACAAAAAACTTTAAAAATATTTTAACATTCCCCAAACAAAAAAACCTGGTACAAAAGGCCTGCTATGTTTCTCAAAACCAAGACCTGGGAGACGTGGAGGAAAAAATATTTGAGAAATTACTGGGCTCACCACCCAGAGTGATTTGCTGGTCACAGAAAGTGCCTCTCTGGCCCAGTCCCGACATCCTGAGGAGTCCTTTGGGACTCAGCCTCCAGCTGGGGTGCGCAGGGCAGGCCCCAGGCACCCTGTCTACCATTGGGCTTGGTGCCAGTAGTCTATGACTGGGAAGAAACAATATATGTGGAACTCATCTTACATGGGATTTATACTGGGGGTTCCTTTTGGTCCTCTTGAGTGGGAGGTACCAGAAAACCATGATCTAAGACAATAAATAGTTATCAGTATCCTTTGAGAGACAGGGGTCAGAGGGAAACAGTCTCTAAACATGCTCTGTCATTTCATGATTCCTGGAAGGTGTCTACAAATCCCCTTCCAGCATGGCCAACCTTCACCTGTGGTAAGATTTCTAGGGAGCCAGCAGGTGGGGCAAAGGTAAACTTATTCCAGTGTAAAGCTGCAAGGCCCCTCCAAAGAGTGCCCAGTCCCACTGCTGGTGGGATCAAGAGCAGTGTAGGGTGCTCAGCAGAGAGGCAGGCTGGGCGAGGAAGGCCCCCGTAGAGGCAGGAATCCATGTTGAGAAGTTGGGTCAGCCCTGGGAAGACCTGCCAGGACAGACTGGCCTGAGTCAGGGCAGAGGGTGGGGCCTGAGCACCCTACAAGAGCAGCTTCCTAGAGACTAGAGTCTTTACCATCCTCCTCAAAGCAGAGCTTAGAGAGGACCGAGGGAAGAGGTTAGGTGCTCTTTCCTGGATAAGGATTTGGTTGTTCTTCCCTGGAAGAGGAACGAGGCCTAGATCAGGGTGAGCATAAGTTCTGAGCCTGCATGCTCCCTATCCTATGAGAGAAGAGGAAGGCAATCTCCTCCCCCTACTCCAGCCTTCTGCCATAGGATGATTCCAGAGAGAAAAGCAGCTGTTCTGGTCACTGAGA